AAGAGAGCGGCAGGAGAGGAGGGGGAGGAGGAAGAGGAGGAGATTGGATTTATACCCTGCCCTTCACTACTCGATGGAGTCTCAGAGCGACTTACAATCTCCTTTCCTTTTCCCTCCCCACAACAGACACCCTTTGAGGGAGGTGGGGATGAGAGAGCTCTTTTGAGGACTGCCCTTGAGAGAACAGCTCTGAGAGAACTAGTGACTGACCCAAGGTCACACCAGCAGCTGCATATGGAGGAGTGGGGAGTCAAACCCGGTTCTCCCAGATTAGAGTCTGCGCTCCTAACCGCTACACCAAACTGGCTCTCTTTGTACCGACCCTTACCAGGGTCACTAGGTAGAGGCAAGCTATGGCTAACCACCTCTGGACATCTCTTGCCTTGAAAACTCTACAGGGTCGCCCTAAATCGGCTGTGAGTTGATGGCTATAAACCCCTCCACCTCTTTATCTCCCTTTCCCCACATAGTGAATTCCCATCTCTCTGCCTCTCTTTTCACACAGTGAATCTACACTTGAAAGACTCGTGATGGGAAAAGGCCTCCGCCTCAACTTCCCTATAAGAAGGTTTCTCGGTTTGTTTCCCAGACATATCCGGCAAAGCAAGTAGCGAGTTGCCCTCCGAGGGACAATATGTTCCCAAATAAGAATCGCTGGTGAAGGCCCTGGGATATATCTAACCACGCTGCTCCTAAGGGTTTGGGGGGGAGGGTTGCTATCACATCACAGCCGGCTTATGGCGACCCCCGTAGGGTTTTCAAGGGAAGAGACGTTCAGAGGTGGTTTGCCATGGCCTGCCTCTGCGGGGCATCCCTGGACTTCTTGGGTGGTCTCCCATCCAAATACTGACCAGGGCTGACCCTGCTTAGTTTCCGAGATCTGACGAGATCGGGCTGGCCTGGGCTACCCCGGTTAAGACCAGTGTTCCCCCTAAGCTGAGTTAGTGTGAGCTTGAGCTAGCTCACAGTTTTTTAGCCTCCGGCTCACACATATTTTGTCTTAGCTCAGGAAGGAGGGCTAATTTATGCAGCAGCCAAATCGCTCACTCACAACTTGAATGCCAGCAGCTCACAAAGCAGAAGGTTTTGCTCACCAGACTCCACAGCTTCGAGGAAGCATTGGTCAGGACGTTCCAAACTTAACAGCAATTAAGACTTTGGAAGAGGAGGCAACGATTTCTGACCGTTTCCCCCCCACATTGCAGACCCCACTTTGTCTCCAGTGCTTAGGGTCTGCTGACCCAAACACATTCTGCGATGCAGTACAGCAAAGAAAGTTATTATCCTTGAAGTCTTTGATGGGCCACTTATCTATAGATGCATTATTGCCTCCCCCCCCCATAAATTTGCTCACCTGCATTGATTTCCGGGATCCCACGCCTTGGCTGTCCTTCATCTAAGGCATATGCAACTAAGTGAGTAGACAGGGATGTAAATATCAAGATATAGTTAGAATCACAGAGTTGGAAGGGATCCCCAGGGTCATCTAGTCCAACCCCCTGAACAATGCATGAAATTCACAAATACTTCCCCCTCCACACACACCCAGTGACCCCTGCTCCATGCCCAGAAGGTGACAAAAAAACCTCCAGGATCCCCGGCCAAACTGGCCTGGAGAAAAAAATTGCTTCCTGGCCCCAAAGTGGTGATGGGCATTTCCCTGGGTGTGTAAGAAAGGGCCACAAGAACTAAGCCTTCCTGCCCCTCCCTTCTCACGATCTGCCTGAGTTCACAGAATCAACATGGCTGTCACTTCTTTCCAGATCATTATTTCAGCTTGTGCACCTCCTACCTCAGAAAAGGACATCCTGTTTTGTTTTGTTTTTTTTAAAAAAGAACCATATTCATCGTCTTTGAACTGGTGTACCTTCATCACTGTCCGGCTCCGTCCTCCTGATCTGCAATAGAAATTGGGCGCTTTTAGAAACCCTTGTAAGCAGAGTCAAAACTCAGCCCCACAGCAAATCAGAAAACCCCCAGAAGACAAACGTACCACAAAGGTAGAAGAAAGAGAAAGCCATGCTGCCAGGCACAAGAGCCTTGACGGAACCATGTCGGAAGACGACCTGGGACAAACTGTGGGGAAACGGCTATAACAACCCATATCGACTGGTGGACTTTGCATGCAATATTCATAAAGATTAATGATGCAGCCATAAGGATGATAAGGTAATGTTTAAGCCGTTCCTGTTTCTGGTACCTTGTATCCTGTCGCTCTGCTCAGCCAAGTCTGAAGTCTTCTTCTGGCTCAAGAAGCCTATAAACATATTTAGCTGTCTTACACTGACTGTACTCGGACTGTTGGTCCATTGGCATCAGTATTGTCTACTCAGACAAGCAGTGGGTCTCCAGGGTCTTGGGCAGAGGTCTTTCACGTCACCTACTGCCTGGTCTTTTTTAACTGGAGATGCCGGGGAGTAAACCTTCTGCATGCCGAGCAGATGCTCTACCACTGAGCCACAGAGCTGCGGAAGACTTTAAAGTTGGCTCAGTGGAATGGAAGGGCGGAAGCCAGTGCAAAGAGTTTATTCTGTGGGACTGTACAAATAATGTGAGAATCAGGACCTCGTAAGCAGTCAAAATAATATCTAGCACTCAGGGTCCATCCATACCAAATGCTGTAAGTCCACTCAAAAGCCAGCTATTACAGTCAAGACAGGCCAGAAAGTAGAAAGAACAGAACAGAACAGGACGAGAGAGAGAGAGAGGGTGCATTCAGACGGGCCGTTTAGTCCACTTTGGACCCGCCTCAGAAACGGATTTTATCTGTTCGATCACACAATCGGCATCTGCCTCCCGTCCCCAGCCGTCGCTTTCCAGCTCAAAACTGCTTTAACCCGGAGTATTTTGATACCAGGTCCCCAAGTGGTGTTTTCCTGATTCTCCGGTTCCAGCCGCATTTTTCCCCTGTGTGATCGCCCCTGCGGTGTCGAGCCACTTCTGGTTTAAACCCCCTCCCCACTCGAAAGCTGCCCGAGGCTTCCGTTTTTCCCCTGCCATTTTTTTCAAGCGTTGCCGGTGTGCGCATAAGCGGAGGTTCGCCACCGCGTTATTAAAAACAATGTTTAAACGCCTAGTTTTAGCATTTAGACGAGTTCGGGATCTCACGGAGGCCATTTTCGGGGTAAATGTTTAAAGGGAAGTGTTCCTTTAAAGTTTAAAGGGAAGTGTTACAGCAGTTGGATTGAAGTGTAAATCCGTGTTCTGCGCACGCGCGAAAATTTTAGTTCTACAGATGGCCGCCTGTGCGCATGCCCAAACTGAGAGAGAGAGAAAAACAAAAGCGATGCACGCTAATTTAGAAATACAAGTATTATAATTTAGAAATACAACGCTAATTTAGAAATACAAGGATTCCCTCGGGGGGGGGGGGTATTGGGGCGATATAGTTACCTATCCTGTAGACCAGAAATCCAGGGGGAAGAGCAAGACATCCAGCATCCTGGATGTGCAGTTGAAATCCAGGAAAAAACACACAGACTATTTTTGTAGGAAAAATGTGTTCTAAGCAGTGTTCCCTCTAAGCTGTGGAGTCTTGTGAGGAAAAAATCTACTTTTTGAGCTACCGGCATTACATTTGTGAGTGAGCGATTTGGCTACTGCATCAGTTAGTTTGCCCTGGAGCCATCCCTTCCTGAGCTAGGACAAAAATGTGTGAGCTGGAGGTTAAAAAACTGTGAGCTGGCTCACACTAACTCAGCTTAGAGGGAACACTTGTCCTGAGGCAGCCTGGCATTTGTACCTCAACATAATAATAAAAAAGGCCTTTCCCAGAATAAACAAAGACCTTTTAAAACTTGCGGCATGAGAGTTGAGGTCCAGTATAAACTAAGGAGCTAATGTGCTTCTGATAAGAGTAGCTAGAGGTGTCTGTGAATGGACAAGGAATCGGAGATGTTTCGGAGGGGGTTTGGATGTAAAATAGGGTTTGGGCTGAAATTCTGGTTGCTTCCTTAGGTGATTCAGAGGGCTTGCTAATTAAACTGATCAAAAAGAAACTGTTTGGTGAACCTCTTTTTGTATTAGGCGGGAAAGGGGATAGACACTGGGAGTTGTTATTGTGAAGGAAATGTGGGGAAGAAAAGCTGAGGGGAGGCTGATAGGATTTGGTGATCCGGATTGAATGATGTTAGCTCTGGGGCAACACAGGCCCATTGTCCAGCATATGTACATGTCAGGGTGGAGGGAGAGGCTGCAACTTGGTCAGAACAAGATGTCACACTTACCAGAGTCTTTGCCTAGGCATAGGTATGAGGCTTGTCTGTCAGGGATCCATCTTTCAGCTTAGAGGGAACACTTGTCCTGAGGCAGCCTGGCATTTGTACCTCAACATAATAATAAAAAAGGCCTTTCCCAGAATAAACAAAGACCTTTTAAAACTTGCGGCATGAGAGTTGAGGTCCAGTATAAACTAAGGAGCTAATGTGCTTCTGATAAGAGTAGCTAGAGGTGTCTGTGAATGGACAAGAAATCGGAGATGTTTCAGAGGGGGTTTGGATGTAAAATAGGGTTTGGGCTGAAATTCTGGTTGCTTCCTTAGGTGATTCAGAGGGCTTGCTAATTAAACTGATCAAAAAGAAACTGTTTGGTGAACCTCTTTTTGTATTAGGCGGGAAAGGGGATAGACACTGGGAGTTGTTATTGTGAAGGAAATGTGGGGAAGAAAAGCTGAGGGGAGGCTGATAGGATTTGGTGATCCGGATTGAATGATGTTAGCTCTGGGGCAACACAGGCCCATTGTCCAGCATATGTACATGTCAGGGTGGAGGGAGAGGCTGCAACTTGGTCAGAACAAGATGTCACACTTACCAGAGTCTTTGCCTAGGCATAGGTATGAGGCTTGTCTGTCAGGGATCCATCTTGTTTGATTCCCCATTCCTCCACAGGCAGCTGCTGGTGTGAACTTGGGTCAGTTATAAGTTCTTTCAGAGCTGTAATTTCACGAGCAGTTCTCGAGAGAGAGCTCTCTCAGCCCCACCTACCTCACAGGGTGTCTGTTGTGGGGAGGGAAGGGGATAGCGATGGTGAGCCACTCTGAGACTCCTTCGGGTAGTGAAGGGCAGCGGATAAATCCAATCTCTTTTCCTCTATATGTCAAAGGGAGGACCTAAGCAAATGCACAGCTGTAGTTTATGAGGAATAGGTGTCACGCATGTCCAAAAGAAGTAGAGGTTTTAACCTCAGTCAAACAACTGTCCTAAAGCCTAATGCACTTGACCTCCTAGGACATGCCATTTATTCCAGAGTGAATTAGGAAACCTGAAGGAAATAGGAATTTCCTGAAACAAAGGCCATCTCTTTAAGTCATTTGTTTAACATGTCAAGCAATGGAGTTATGCAGCAACCCTTTTGTTGAGTAGCGGAAATGATGAGAAACTAGCAGTGTAATCCTAAACAGTTTTCCTCTTCTAAGCCCATTAACTTCCAGGGACTTGAATGGTATAACTGTTTCTGACTGAACTGTAAATTGACTTCATAGCCTCAAAATTTTTGAGGGGCCAGATGGTTATAGGTTTCCAAACATGGTGCGCATAGCCCACTACTCATTGGATCCTATTCAGGCCAAAGGAATCCAAACACTCGGTTATTTAAAAGTGCATATTGGGGGAAGGAAGTGGAGCTTTTGGAAATTATCCTTCAGATCCAATCTCAGAAGAGCCCTTTGGCTCAAATCTAAGTATAGATGTCTGACTCCGGAACCCTGTAACAGAATACCGACCACATTTACATGCGTACTACGCCAGATTAGTCAGAACCAAAATACAGTCTCCTTTGGGTAGAAAATATGCAAAGCAGAGTTTTCCATATCACCATATTGTGGGCAGGCACGGCGAATCTGTAACCCAGTCTCTTCCCACTCAGCCATTAGGCGTGTTTGGAATTACTGCTGGCACACTTTCCCCCAGCGTGGTTTTTCCCAAGGAGTCCACCTAAATCTGAAGAATGGGAAGCGGTTCTGACAGCAGCAACACAACAGATGGCTTGTTTGACATTAAAATGATTGTCATCCTGGTTGGAACTATTTTGGTGCTGGCAAGAACGTGGATGGATGTCTTCATCCTGACCGTCAATGTCAGGGACTGGATGGAAAAGAAACGCCTGAGCACAGCTGACAGGATCCTGACCTTACAAGGCTGCATCAGGATATATTTGGGGTTCCCGGATATAATATGGCAAATCCTGGAGAAATTCTGTCCTTGGGTCACTTGGATACACTACGTTTTCAAAGCGCTCATATTCAGCTTCTGGTACTTGCTCTCTTGCAACGTCTGGCTCACAACTTCCTTGTGCAGCTACTACTGCGTGAAGATCGCAGACTTTAGCCACCCCTTCTTCGTCCACTTGAAACTAAGGCTCTCGGGACTGGTGTCGACCTGGCTCCTTGGCTCTGCAATTTTGTCTTTGGCCGGT